CATTAAATGAAGAGACAGACAATAGACAGTTTGTATAAAATCTAACTGCCCACCAGCAAGAGAACTAATTTAATATAGTGACCAGTGAGTCTATATATATCTTAGCCAACACAGTTCAGTGTGTAGGCTATTATATGTAGCAAAGGCAATGGTTCTATTTAGAACCATGAGTTCTATTTAGAACCATTTACATATTTACATTACATAATCAAATGGTTCTTTGCATGGTGAAATGGTTCTTCAGACTGAAGCAGAGTGTGTTGTATGTGGTTCTATATAGTACCAAAAAGGGTTTGGCTGTTGTTACAAGCTTGACATCGTAACTATAGCAGAACCATTTTTAGTGCTATATAGAACCATTTACAAATAGATTCTATATAGAACCATATACAACACACTCTGCATCAATCTGAAGAACCGTTAAACATGACTGGTTCTATATAGAACTCATGGTTCTTAATAAAACCAATGCCTTTACCAAGGAACCCTATAGAGAACCATCGTTTTTAAGTGCATACACATCAAGCTTTATAACATGGCCTCTAAAAATAAAGAAGGGGTGACAGAGAGAGAGGAAGAGAGAGAGAGAGGTTTCTTGTACATTAGACTGTCAGATAAAAAAGGAAGAAAAGTCTATAAAAATAGAGACTTGTACAGTAGATGTGCGAATGCAGTAGGATGTAGATAAAGTGACAGTAAAATATGTATCTCAGAGCCTTGGCACCCACAGCTACTGCACTGCTGCTCTCTCTTACTAAAAAAAGTAATGCGTTGAATTTATTTATCACTTTTAAAGGAAAAGTTAAGCAAAAAATCAACTTAACATGATTCATCACTTACCCTGGATGCAGCTGATCAGCTGAGACATGTTCGGTACCTGAAGTTTGCTTCATTATTTTACAGTGGGAAATGCTAGGTTAGCATTGCTAACATAAGGCTTATACTGTCATCATTCTCATCTCTGTAAATACACGCCCAAAACGTCTCTCGGCCTGCTCAAAACACACCCACATCTTTATTTGTTTAACACAGACAAACTGATGTGGTCTAGAACACACTATGACTTACTTTAGTCTATAAAAATAAACAGCGTAGATGTACAGCGGGGCAGCCACTGTAAGTAACCACTCACAATCACTTTTAGCTCAGCACAATATGTGGTATTATTCTTTGCAAGACCACCAAACATGGGGTTAAATGCATTCCTAAACACAAAGACGCACAGTAGTCTAACTTGGCAGACCTGGCAAGGTTGTGACCTTAGTCCACCAACCAAAAATATCCAGCCAACAGTGTCCTGACCACTGATGAAGGACTAGAGGATGACCAACGCAAACTGTGTTGCAACAGTCGAGCTACTGTCTCTGACTCTACCTCTACAAGGTGAACCAACAAGGTCTAATAGAGTGGACAGTGATTGGACACAGTGTTTTAAAACTCCAGCAGCACTGCTGTGTCTGATCCACTCGTACCAGCACAACACACTTTAATGAGCTGGCGGTCACTGTTAAAACCTTGTAACTCCTTTTTTTATTATTTTTTATTTTTAATCCTTTTGAAAATGCTGTTCGTTACACTGTGTGAACATTTAAAGATCCAGTAGAAATGGCGAAAAACTGCCACTGTTTCAAAGATTTATTTTACAAAACCAGCAATATTTTACTCAGAATGCACTTAAATGATGTAAATTTAATGCACCAGTGTGAGCTGCACTGACCTGAACACACCTCCATCAGAGGAAACAGTGACCACACAACTAAAACTCTCTCTACTTTTCCCAAACATCCTCATCCTGCTGTTTTTTTGTGACATATTCCTGGCTGACTGAACTCATTGGCATGCAGGGAATGACTCCTACTCCTTAATCACTCTCCCGCCATCCCTTCTCTCTGGTGTATCACTCACTCCTCTCTCATCCTCACTGACTTCCATTTCCTCCTCATCCCTTCACTGCCTCCTCGCATTCCACCCCCCCTTCTTTTCTCAGCCTCACACTATAATTCTCTGAGCGCTGAAGGCAGGACGTAACTCAGACGTAGCCATGGTGACTGGCTCTTGCTGTCAAACACAGAAACTTTGCTGAATCACCACAGCACAGGGCTAATCTGCTTACCTTACAGCAGCCGATTCAAAAACCTCGAGCAGCATGGTGCTACTGAGTAAAAGAAGTGGAAGGAAATATGTAAGGGCACCAAAGCTGATCATTAAACATACTCATACAGTTGTATGCAAAAGTTTGGTACCCCTAGTCAAATGACATGTTTTGGTGCAAATAGGTTAACACGTCCTCTACAGGGAACAAACTCGAATATGGCACTTGTGTGTGCCATAATTTTTGCATGGGCCACATTTTATGTTTTATTTTTTCCCCCTAAACCAGGGGTCAGCAACCCAAATGTTATGCCCTTTCAATAAAAATTAGACCACCTTGGGATCCACATCATTTTATGTCCATTTCACCATCTTGGCTGTCTCAGAATGTGCTAATGTACTAATGTAGGCTAAAAAATATAATAAACAAAAACGCAGACTCACTTTGCTCTGCTTTAAGTTTCAGCTCAGCTACAGCTTCTTCTCTCGCATCTCTGGCAGGAAACTTTTCCGTAAAGTAGAACAGTTTCTTGTGAAATCTCTCTCAATGTTCGACTTTTTACAAGGCTGAAGTTGCTTCTCACTCATCAGCCTCTTGTTTGAATTTCTTGTTCGCCAGAATGTAACTGCGTCACCATTTAAGGTGGAACAGAAAAATTCAGCCTCATGACTTTTTAATGTTTGACAGTTTTTCGTTGCAGATTAAACGTATCAGGAAACCAGCTGGAGTGTTTTTAACGCAAATAAGCCCATTCGTCTCCAAATTATCAATGTTTGTCTTGGATCTTTCTCTTTTCCTTTTCGTTAGCTACTAGCTGGGCCAGAGTCTTATCTGCGTTGATATGGTGATCAGCAGTCTGCATGCCAACCTTCAGGGTTAAAGGGTAAATTAGCAGTCATACATTAACGCCAGCATTTGTTAAAACTCGAACGATCAGCAGAGCTTTATTTTACTGCAAAGGAGGATTATTTTATGTTTATCTACAAATCGAATTCTGCTGTGGAGCCACAATAGAGCTGCATGTTGCTGACCCCTGCCCTATACATCAATTCAGCGAATGAACAGTAATTATGCATTAACATGCAACCAAAGAAGCAAGCTTTGAACACTAAACATATCCTCCTGGATTGACTTAGTTTGGGGCGAGGAAAATGAAGATAAAAAAAAGTAAATATGATACTTCATACTACTATACTGTTCCTTTAAGAGAGTGTTTTGAACTAAGAAAGACAAAAGAAAGCAGGGATACAGGCCTCCTTTGAATGCAGACACAGTAACGGGCAGGCCCTCTGACAAGTCAAGACAAATGTGTGTCTCTGTGGTTATTTATTCAGTCTAGTTTCAGTCCAGCCAGGATTTGACTGACTACTGCTGACCAGGTCCAATAAGGGCACAATTTTTTACGGATGTGTTTAGTAACCTTCTGCAGGAGCATGTGTGAATCTGAGGGTTTTTAACAACATGCATATTTAAACCACATCATGAGACACTAAAATACAGGGCAGCAAAGAAAGCACAAGTGGACATAAGTAAGGCTGAATGTATAATTCATGTCCGAACAAGAATCTACAGAACCCGCTTGAGCAGCTAAATGCAGCTGTGCTGGCAAAAGGCTGCACCAGCCGCCAGCCCTGGCAGAGCGAGGCGGCCTGAAGTGCCAGGGAGAAACTCTCCTAACTCCAGCCAGAATCCTTCCAAATCCCCACTCACAAAAAAAAAACTAAGAGATAAGCAAACGCTCCTTCAAAAGTCGAAGGAGGGCAAAACACGTTCACTTAGGGGACTCTGGGAATTGATGTCCACATCTAGCAGGAAGCCAGAGATGTATCAAAAATCATTTTCTCTTTAAGACTTCAGCTCCCAAGAGTCAAAGTAAAAGCTGCTTTTATGAAGGCTGCAGCTCAGGGCCATACACATGGCCAAATGTATGTGGACACCCCTACAAATCATTGAGTTCAGGTGTTTCAGCCACACCTATTGCTAACAGGTGTATAAAATCAAGAAGATAATCATCCAAACATTGGCAGTAGAACAGGTCACACATAGCACTGTCATAAAATGCCACCTCCACCACAAGACAGTACGTGAACATTTCTGCCCTGCTAGACCTGACCTGGTCAATTGTAAGTGCTATTATTCTAGGAGCAACAACACCTCAGCCACAAAGTGAAAGACCACATAAACTCACAAAGTGGGGCCACCAAGTGCTGAAGCCCTTAGCATGCAAAAATCACCTATCCTCTGTTTCATCAGTCACTACTGCCTCTGGAAGCAATGTCAGCATAAGAACTTTGCACCTGGAGCTTCATGAAATGAGTTTTGTGGCCAAACAGCTGCACACAAACTGATCACTATGCCCAGGGACATCCAACACGCTCATTTTAGGTGTGATGGTCAGGTGTCCATATACTTTTGGCCATGTAGTGTAGGTCACACAAGGTCAAACAACCCTCTTACACACAGCTTACCTGCAGATGTTAAATTAAACCAATTGCCAAGGTAATATTACATTCATATATGCACAGTCTTCATATGGAGCTGTATCTAGCATTAGCCACCAAATGCCTCAAGTTCTGGCTTAACATGTATTAAATGGAAACTATATACAGGCGCAATATGGCAAAAATATAACATTGCAATGCTTAAATATATTTTCACGATAGCAAGCAGTGCCACATTTGAAAAACAAAAGAATACAAGGACTTTTATTAAACTTTTCACACATTCAGCAAGAGGCCTAATTATGCGCTGCCTGTAAGAAAACCTGCAGTTGTTCAGTTGTTCTTCATGTACTGACAATATCAGTACTAAAAAAAGTATTGTGGCAATTTTTCATGATAAAGATCAATTTTGCCATGATGACCATCATTACTCTGCACATGAAGGTAAAAAGAGACACGTAGGTGAATGTTTTGTAAAAAACAAATCTCATTTTATTGACATCTTTTGAAGACATTTTGCATCAGAAATTCATTGCCTCTGATGTGCCGAACATCAAAGCACTAACAGACTCACCACAGAACCCAAGTCATACTTCATTGTCCACAGAACATGGCTGAGTGAATATCTTCATGTGATTTCTACATTGGTAATGTAAGCGTGTATCTGTGTCTCTGTATCTCTGAAGTGTTTCAGTGTTATTACTGATGGTGTGTGTGTTAAAATGGTTTGGTTGCACACTCAAAACCAAACAGATACCAAACTGAAAGCTCGCTGTGCCTGATCACTGAACTAAAAATTGCAGGTTGAAAAAACAGCATTAATATCTCTCTCTCTTCTCAAGTCCAATTGCAACATCTACTCCTTTTTTTCTGCGCCTCCTTCAAAGCAACACTTCTTCTGCATGACCTCATCCATCCATCTCTGCAGTGAAGAGATGTGACTGTGCTCCTTCCTCCCCCCACTCCCCCCCTGAGAGCTTTGCCCCAGACCGACTCTGGCTCTCTCTCCTCAGGTTCTCCCACATCCCTACCTCCTGCATCCATCCCACACATGATGCAACCTTCTTCCCCAATTATATAACCTCCACACAGAGAGAAAAACACTTTTGCTGCACAAAGTCAACCGAATGCCCTAACAAAACAACAACAACAACAACAAAAAAGTCCCCACAGAACTTCATTCCTAAATTAGATGCTGAACACACGTGTTCACGAGTGCTGGAATGTGTGGGTGCAACTGTGCTTTTACTGCAATGGCTTTCCACGTAATATTGAGGCAAATCACCTGTACAGAAACGTGTTCATGCTATCAGAAGCTGTCACATGCTGACATATAGAATCAATAGAATTATGGTCCAACAGCCATGGTTGAAAAAGGAGACATGTGAAGTGTAAAGTGTATATAAGGAAGCTCTGGAATTCCTTCACAGTATCATAGAATGTTGCACCTTGCTGGCGCCACATATCAGCAGACACTTGTCCCTTCGACACGTTCGCACACTCGACACTGACAGCGCAAAAATGTATGCACAGTGAGCGGGGGTCTGTGGGGGAGTGTCCCACTGAGTGCATACATGTGTATTTGTGTGCATTAGGGCTGCACAATATATCGTTTTTGTAATGATGTGATATTAGCTGACACAATACCAACAGTGGAGTTGCAAATGAACCTTTAAACCTGTCGAGTCAAACTGGGTTCCTTCCGGGTCACAGTTCTGCAGAGATTAGCGTTGTCCCTCTTTTAAAACTCCAAATGCAATTTATGAAGGTGTTGCTAATGAGCTCAACAGTTAAATCAGGTGTGTTTAATGAGGGAGACCCCTAAAGTCTGCAGAACTGCAGCCTGGAAGGAATCCAGTCTGACACCTCTGCTCACTGTTGTCCACTGAGGGAATCGTGTGATTCAATAAACATCCCCAAAATAACGTAGGTGTCCCATCAAGGCTTTACCAGTGTGTTATTCATATATATTGGAAGGCACATCGTAAACTGTAGCATTATCACTGAAATATGATGTTCTCTTTATATTGTGCAGCCCTAGTGTTCATGTATTTGAACATGTCTTAGTTGCTGTGTCTTTATTCTGTATCTTGGTTCTGACTTACTAAGCACAAGTCCCTGAAACCCTCCTACCAGCAACCGCTGGACTATGGCCTTACAGACTGTACTTTTCACCTGGAAGCTAAGCCATTACCTGATTCAAACTGTACAAACAAAGGAGGATTCTACTGCTAAACAGTACCTGGCTGGTTATCATCACAAAGCCCTTTCTACTATATCAAAGCCACAGTTCCCATAATCACTGCTATTTGATATAAAGACTAAGTACCTGAACAGCACCAATGCAGCAGGTCTACTGCTGTCTTCATCATCATCATCATCCATTCAGTCACTCACAGCTATCAGCATCTATTTTTTAATTATTGCTTTAAACGACTTTCATATCCAAGTCAATGTGCAGAGAGTCTAAAGCTCGCTCCAGTCTACTCTCTCCTTCTCACTTCTTGAGGTAAATTGTCAATATAGCCCAAATAAAAGAAGAACAAAAAGGGCCATGTACAACAAAATATTTGCACAGATTTAACACAAATGAGATGTATAAGAACCAAATGTCTTTAAACTTATTGTAAGGCAAATAACCATAATCCATATGGAACGCAAATATACAAAAAAAGTCAGTGTCTCCAAGAGTCCAAAAAAACATAAATATTTCATATGTAAAAGGAAACATGGGGCATGTTTGATCAGGTCTCTGTCCCCTTTATTTCATTTCTCCTTGGTGTTCCAGAGAACACGAGAGAGGGTGCCTACACATTGGAGACGTTTTGTGAGTCCCGTGCCTGCCGGATCCCATACAGCCATTTGATTACACGTGCATTCCTCTCAATAACTGAGATGCCATAAGGAACACGGTCGTTTGGCCTAGGGGGGGCATCGTCTTCATCATCTTCATCCTCCTCCTCCCTCCTGCCTTCTTCTCCGCACTCAGAGCTGGGTGTGCTGACGCTTCGGAGTTTGGAGACGGAGACAATGTCGGAGGCGGCACGGGCGAAGCGCTCCACTCCGCCCAGGCCCTCTAGCTCCTCAGGGTCCAGGCCACAGTAGTTAAAGAAACGCTCCAGATCAGCGGTGGCCCGCGAGAGACGGTCGCTCAGGTCCGACTTGGAGCGGTGCAGGGATGGGTGTTTGCGCCCTGAGCCCCGCGAACTGGCTGAAGAAAGGCGAGTGAAGGCAGGCGAGGCTGGAGGAGGGACACCTGAACGCAGGAGCAAGGGGCTGGATGGTAAACAGGGTGAGGGAGACCGGGCTGGGAGTGAGGGAGGCTTAGTAGATGGAGGAGGTGGAGGTGGTACTTGTGGCTGGGCGACCTGTGGCTGCGCCGCCTGTCTGGGCTTGGCCTGGGGCTTCAAAGGTATCCTCTGGGGTTTCCTGACCACTGCTTGAGGCCGCACATCCACCCGCCGGACCATTACAGAGTTGGGGCTGCTGTAGGCACCCTGTGCAGGGAGCCGAGGAGCTCTGGCTGGAACAGGGGGTGGCCTGCGGCTAGGCTCTGGAACAGCAGGAGAAGGAGGCTGGATGTGGTTGTTGAGAGGAGAGGGAGTGCACGAGTTGACAGAATCAGATGTCGACAGAAAGTGTCCCTTAAAGCAGAAACCCTGCTGAGGCTCTGTTGCTGACTGTCCACTCCCCATACTCTTTCCTCCAGATGAGGGTGAGGAGGCCAAGGGTGAGGGAGAGGAAGGAGCAGGAGACGAAGGCTGTGGCCCATCTGAGACGTTAATGAGGTTGTTAAGGATCTCCAGATTGAGCTGTGGGCCCCTGCGTGTACTCTGTCCTGGGCTTCCTCCATTGTCCACAGAGTCCGAGGGCCTGCGGGGAACCTTCCGGGCTGGCGGAGTGTTGATCCTGCACTGCAGCATCATGCCTGGGGACAGCAGGGGCTTGCGGATGATTGGTGGCTTGACAGGCTCCTGCCTAGTTAGTGCTACCTGCTGACTCTTCACGTACTTGGCCTTGTCGGCTTCCAGACGCTCCACGGCGCTTAGCTTGCGCGCCCCAGGCTCGGGAGCCCTGCGAAAGTAGTCCGGGCCCTTGTTCAGGATGCGGAAAGGCATGGCCGAGGTAAAAGGACCACCAGCCAGACGTCCATCCGAAGGACGAAGGGTTTCCACTGGCATGATGGGCGACTGTGGAGGTGGGATAAATTCAAGAGGGGTGAAACTGAGGCTAATGGTCAGTTCCCCTTTGAGCTTCCAAATGTCCAGTGCCTCAAAGAAGTCTTTTGTACTCACACTTTTTATTTACTTTTTTTGCTGTGTCTTCAAGGTCCTCTCCCACCCCTGAGGGCCCCTTATAACTTTTTCAACCCAGCTGAATGGTCCTGCTGCTGTTCCCTCTTTTTTTGTTTCAGGTTCTCTTGTCTTTTATCCACACTCCTCCTGGCGCAGCTCACTGAATGGAGGACTTCAGGGAGAGGGTCACCAGAGGTTGCATTCCATATCAGTCCAACTGAGCGACCCACCAGGACAAGGGCAGTCTGTGAAGTCAGTGCTGAGACTCTTCTCCCTCACAGCTCCAACGGCCAAGTAACGGAGTGAAGCCCACAAAACACAGCGACTCAGTCCACTCCTCTCACACGCACTGGCAGTGTCCCACAAACTCCACAAAAGCAGATAATCCTGAAGTCCTCCTCTTATAGCTGCAGGGCTGTGAAAAGAAGAGAGAAAGGGAAAGATGCCATTAGAAAAGAGGAGAAAAAAAGGAGAGAAGAAACTCCTCTCTCTCTCCCTCAGCTCAACACACATAGCACTGTAGAGCAAATGGGGCAGACGCTTGGTTTTAATGCGCTGTCTGGCTCCTCCTACTACACTCTCAGAGCCTCCAGATGCCGTTTCTTCAAGCAGCCAATCAGAGCAGAGAAAGGAGCTCAGAGCATGGGAGAGAAAAAAGGAGGAGAGACTGAACGGTGCTCTGATTGGCTGAAACTAGAGGCTCCAACCAATTGTACCCTTCCCCCCACTCACAACAAACACGCCTACTGAATTTTCATTCAAATGAAATTCTTTGAAAGACAACAAAAAAGAAAAAGAAAGAGCAAAGAGGGAACAGCTGCAATCTTTTGCGTTCAGTTGCATCAAACACAACAGGGCCTTTTTTTTTGGTGGAAAACACTGAAATCTCCTCCTGTCCTTCACATGTGCATTATTCTAGAGTACATAAAAGGGCTTTGTGCACTGTCTATACAGAACACATTACAGGCAGATTATAATGTTTTATACGCTGGCCCCAGAGGCCGGATCTAAGCCGATGCTCATTTAAATCCTACTGAAAACGCTCATAAGCATCACCTCAGCTCGACTCAGACGGGCAAAAGCCCTCTTAAGATTTCAACTGGACTATAAACAGACTTGCTGCTGCTCACTGGCTGCTGGTGACTCAGATTAGAGCTCCCGCTCCATCATCACTGATTCTTTCATGTGTTCATCCATGGTTTCATGAGATCTGAGAGGCAATTTACTTTTTCCTCTCTCTATTTTTCCCCCCTATTTTTCTTACAATACTGAGGATTTGTATTACATCATATGAGATGCTCCAAGGCTTGTTCCTTGCCCTTCTTCATCCTCATCATCATATTCAAGCACATATTTTTAATTAATCTTTTTATAGCATGCCTTTGTCTCTGGAACTGTGTCCCCATTACATCCCCCTCCCCTTTTCTCTCTAATAAGACAGAGCAAATTCAATAGAAAGAGAAGGATTTTCAAACCAAGCCAGGGTGCGCAGTCTGAAAGCCTAAATACAGCCTTGGGCTTTAATTACTGGATCAAACGCAACTGTCTCAGAACATTTAGACAGAAGGAAAAGTAACCTGGATACATACAGGGCACGCACTGGGGTGTTTTAATGCAGAAAAACGGTCATGATGATTCACATCTGATACACAAAGCTTTTAAAATGGCCTGTGGGGGAAGATGACCTTGTGGCCAGAGCACAGAAGAAGAAGCAGAGAATCACTCACTGAAAATGTGTTGCTTTATTGCCTTACACTGTAATTCCACACACTGTAATGCACATAACTACTGTCTAGGCCATGCCATAATCCTTCTGAATAAGAATCTTTCCCATTTTTGTCTACTGAGGTCAGTGCACATATGCATTTAACTTGTTGAACTATACATAAAATATGGGTTGAAAAAATTATGCATAAATATGTTTACATTTACACTTGCTGCTCAATTCTCTTAGCTGTACATACTGTCTATATGTACCTCAGTACTCCAGTACTTGATGGTATATGTACTTATCTTCCATTGCACATCCTTTTACTTGCAGTTTGTTTGTGTCAATTTAATGTTTTATATACTGTATTTTTTCTATATTTATTTAATAGGATTTAATTTTATGTTCACACTTGGCAAATAAAGATTCTGATTTTGATTATGAATAGTTGATATCCTAGTATTTCTAAACAACACTCTGCTGTTCCCAAACAACGCTGGTCGGTAAGTTAATGTGAAGGTGCTAAAACTAAATATATACCAGCCTAAAAAATAACCTACTATCTAATAGTTAATGGAAAGAATGAGGTATTTGGCACACAGAGGATGCTTATATGTGATACTGTTCCCTTTAAGAAGCTTACATATATAGTAATAATGAAAGCAAATCCAGGTTAAACTCTTTGGTGCACTTTAAGCCACATCCAGACACACAAATGTTCAGCTGTCTCCCAGTGGCAGGGCTTTTAATAGAAGGTGCAGTTGCTTGGGATCCAGCCAGAATGGAAATGTTGAGGGGGATCAGACCCAAACAGGTCATTAGTCACTCCAGTCTACAAGAACCCAGCACCCTGTGCCCTCTGTTAAGCTCCTACACACACTGTCTCAGGGCCACTACCATAGAGGGGACACACATCGACAGAAACCAAAAATAAAAGGAAGAGCTCCAGATTCTGTTTTTGAATCATAAAAACACAATTAAGCCGCAAATTCACCACTGTCTTGGCAGCCATAAGGTACAGACACATAATAACTAACCCAACATATACTACACACAGACAGCTCATATTTCAGTGTGTGGTGTACGGTTACACAACACAGCTGTCCCAGGCTATTTTCCACCTCTGCTTTGTCTCCATCCTTCTTTTTTTTAAAACACAACACTGCTTAAAAGGTGTGGAAATTCAGGAAATAACTGCTGTCTCACCATCACATATCCCATATTGTGCAATATGCACCTTACTCACTCCTCCTAAGCCCATGAGACGTACAGGTACAAGTCAGGTGAGACACTCACTACAGAATGAGCCAGACAAGCACACACACACACAAACACACACACAGTGGAATGTGCTGAGCGGAAGTGATCCATGACGTCAAAGGCCAACTTTGGGCACAAACAGAAGTGTGAACTGATCCATATAACAAGAGGGCTTCAGCACCATGCCATCTGGGCAAAGCAGGGAGGACATGCGGAGACACAGGAACCAACTCACACATACACACACATTCACAGAAGCATACATTGATAAAAAGGTACCCAAACTGACATTTGCTACATTCCTTTTAAATGTAGGTATTAAATTATGAAGCTACATATCCATTATAATACTGCGGGAGTGCCTCCTTAAGAACAATGTCCATTCACTGTAACACTAAACCATATCTAGAGTTCTTCATGTAGAGGATGATGACGAATAAACCTACAGATTGATATAGAGAAATAAACTGGATTTTTAACTTGGGGTAAGAAGCTCACCCTGGTGTATCTCGCATACGTTTGTCATCATTTTACAAAATGTGTAATTTATACATCAAATAATATCTTGTCTTTGCATTTTTCAAAAACTGATCTTATTGATCCTATTATACATACAATTTAGACAAAGCAGTACCATTTATCATCATTCGTATGCTTTTCACATTCAGCATTTACCTGCAAACTGTTGCATTAACGATGATCAAGCGTGGATGTAACTGTGCCTAGCTATCTAATGAATTAATAAGTTTGGGTCAGTATGCTAAAGGGGGCCTTCTTTTTTCCTCTCATAATCAAAAGTATTGTTCTCTGCCCCCCCCCCACCAAAACAATAAATAACTAACCCCAAAATGTTTCTAGCATTCCAAAGCAATACATGCTAGGAATGTAGTTATCCAGATAATCTAATTAGAATTAGAATTAATTAGCACTCAGCCATTCAGTAAATGTGTTGAGATTAGATTTGGCTCCATCACTTGATCAGGTGAGAAAATGGGAGGGGGGTGACCTTAGTGGGCTCCTTCCCTTAAGTGACTCTACTTACCAAAAGAGTAGCTTGACACATTTACATTTGTTTAATAATAAATAAATAAATAAATTAAGAAATACGCAATGTCTAATAAAGTATGTATTATGTATGTATTACTAGGGACATTTATCTGAAAATTGACATTGAAATGTTTGAATTAGGAAAAATATTACTTTTTCATACTTAAGCTCAAATAGATATGTAACCTTGAACACATTAAAGTACTCATTGACATATACTGATAGCAGCCTTTTATGCATTTTAGCTGGGTTGAACATCTCGTTTTTTTAATTATGTGCATTATGAGTATGAACTGCAGTGTTCACTCATTTTAACAGTGTTTAGGAAACACTTTTTATGGGCGAATCTGAACTGGGAAAATGTGACGTTACTAGCATTAGTCCCTAAAACCACGACTAAAAACAGTGAGAGACTGTGGGTTAACCCCAGCAGCCTACAGCTGGAGAGAAAAAGAAAAAAAAAACTCCACCACACAAATTCCAGCTGTGAGAAACTACATTCTGTAATTACAGGGGAATTTCTGTGACTTGAAGCAATTTGGTGCTCTTACAATATCTATCAATTACAGCCTGGAGTCAGACACACGTGAGAGAGTAAGGAGGAAAGAACAAAGCTGTAGAGAAAGCAGTGAAGTAGTAGTAGGGGAGGGAGAGAGCGAGAGAGAGAGAGCAAGATAGAGATACAGGGAGGGGAAAGTGGCTGGGCCCTGGCCAGTTGTTTTTACTATTCACAGAGGAATTCCTGGAGATAGTCGCCTAAATGATGAGGAGTAAAAATAAAACGTCTCTGGTCCGCAGAGGCTAGGCGTGGACCACTGATGAGAGGTTCCTGGAGGTAAAAGAGCGAGAGAGGTTGGTTTGAAGTGGGGGATTCAGACATGCAAGCCCTAGCTTTATCTGTATCCTAGACACTGGCTGCTGCTGACCTCTCCCCGCTGGGCTCTGGACTAAACAAACATGACTCCCCCCAACTGGGACAGATAAGGCACATACAGGACAAGCTACCACTGCTGAGCAGTACCTTGTCTTCAGTGTTCAGACATTAGCCTAACAGGAAACATGCTACTTCAAATTTCACATTTCTAGAAGTACTGAAAAACGCAGGCCCCAAAAAAACATGCTGATGACGAGAACTGCTAATAAAAGCTGGGGCAACGTGGGGGAGATGAGGAATGTGTGAATTAAACTCAGGTGGAGTCTGTGCTGACCCTGCAGGAGAGAGATAATGAGACTTCACATGCAAACAGAAAGTTTAAAAAGGTCATCTCTCTCTCAATCAGTCCCAAGCACTACCAACAGCACCGATAAGAAATGTCTGTGATAAGGAGATCAGCCATCTACACACAATCCACCTCAGGGCCTTCAATTGATACTAAAGAGCTCATGATTATCTGTTATCTGTGTCGTCGGGTTTTGTACTGTGAAAATTATCAGTTGGTTTAGAAGTTAGAGCAAGGAAAGTGTTTTAAAAGACTTTATGGCATCTGTTCTCATTTCAAGTACAAGCATGGAGTCTATTCCACAATGTAGTGACTTTTCTGGTGTAACCCACCTGATCCCCATCATTGAACTTAATGATCAGTGATTCTTTGAGGGGGAATTCCACTGATTTCCTAAAATTTACCCATAAAGCAATCATTGAGATATAAACAAAGTCATTCAGTGTGGTTTGCTGTGAAATGGTGCATTATAGAGAAATTTAGTTACTTCTTTATAGTGATGATAGGAACCAGAGGTCATGATATCTACAATACAAAAAGGCTTTTTAATTACAATCCAAAATGACCAGTGAATCTCTACATGTCTAATCTGTTATGTGTAATGATAACAACAAAAAATAGTAGATTTGGGAAGAAAAAAAAAGTTCCCTTTGGGTACTATTTTGCCTTGTGCGTAGCTCTCCGCCATTAATGTGCTTAAAAATGTTAGAATAATGTTTTATTAAAAATATCTTGTAGCAAATCTATCGCAAAACAATGTCTCAGATCAGACAATGCATCTGTAAGCATTTCATGTAATAGCTGTCTGTGAGGGAGATTTTACAGGCATTAAATGCTTTAGACTTCTGGTTCCTATCACCACCACTGTGAACAATCCTGACTAGATTTCTTTAGAATGGAGCATCTCACATCAATCCAGTCTAAATGACTTAATTTTACTTACTTTTGCTTAATTTAATTATGCAGAAATTATCAAAAAAAATGATGGAATTCCTCTTTAAGAGTAAAGAAACCCTCTTTAAGAGTAAAGAGGCCAGTGCTGCAGTTGAGGACCATTGTACTTTGACAGTAGCCTCAGTTTCTCTTGAAAGCAATAACATTAAGCATTGCCAAATGTGTCAGGCTCAGTTAGAGCTGATCAAGAGCTGTCCTTCAGGAGACATACCTGCTTTTACTAAGACGGTTGAGAGACAGTTTGCTGCCCCAGAGGGCACACAGACCAGTACGAGGATGATCGATCCCTGAAGACTCAAGCAGTCAACCAGACAAACCTTCTTGTGGTCTCAGTTCATTTCTACAGCTTCATCAGTAAATGGGGTGTATAGGGATCTAAATGGCCCTATTCTCACATTTCAATATGCAGTACGGCACAATACAACTGCTCCTTCCACCCACAGCAGGGCAAAGTCAACTCTGAGCACTGAGCCATTAGAGCGTCAAAGAGCTGTTATAATGCAACCCTCCCCCCACCTTCTTTCGCCCAGCAACTCACAGCCTATGCAAGGCCTAACCCAACACTGACTGTCTGCGTCTGCGCCCCCGGGACATTCTCAGTATTCATCTCTCCATTCATAATCACACCCACTACATGCATCCCACCGTGCACAAGAGCATACCCAAACCCCATCTCTCTGTATGCCAAGCAAGGACGTCAGGAAAAATTGTGTGTGAAGGCTGCACAATATATTGCTAATCGTTGATAATCATTATTATGATTGGCCTTCAAAACGCTGATATAGCAGAAGTCTGCAGTATGCAAATGAGTCTCTGCAAATGACTTATTAATCATTTTACTGCAACCAATCACAGACATGCTTCTGTGTGTTTGCTTAATGGGGAATTTCACAGACTTTTCAAAATGTCTGCCTTTTTAAAAGGTTGACAGCTTTTCAAAGGTTGGTTTATGGAAGGTTTGAGATAGATACATAGGTACATGCAAGGTATTGCAAGGCAAATAGCATATAGAATAAAACATATTTTTTAGATTTAACATCATTTTGTCATTATTATTATTACATGTAAAAACTTAGAAGACGCGTGCAGCTTTACTGATGGCTTTGGATAGTAGATATAATGACTATATTTGGGTTGTACACATCTCGACCCCCTGGACCCCCTATCACCACCACTGTAACAAATCTTGGTAATAGTAATTGCAATATGTAGCAATATAACTGCAATATCTTATTTTGTCCATACCATGGCTCCCAAAAGTGCGTGAATGTCAAGTAATTAACTTTTTCCCTAACACATTTTTTGAGAAAAGGATCAATGACACAACTAACACTAAACACTGTGCACGTCACTGCGACTAGAGGGAGGAAGAGATAGAGGGCGGGAAGCGCAAGTCCATTCCTCATGACTTGATTGTAATACAATAATCAAATAAGAGCAGGTGGTGCAGCTGGCCCCATGGCCTGAATAAGACCCCTCTTGTAGACAAACTGCCCCTGACAGGCATTCGTCCATATTAGAGAAGAAAAATACATTACTCAGAGGCTCGGCCAAAGACCAGAACAAAAGAACCCAAAATCCACATTCTCAATGAGTAAGAAGAACATGTTGAGCTTGTGCTTCTCTGCTGACTATGCGGATATGAGCCAGCCCAAATCCTAAAACCCTTCCCACTGCCTGGCCTGCTGCTCCTCGGCCACACATTCTTCTCATGTCTCCCATTCTCTCCTATCACACACCACCAAGCCCTCTATCTGAGGGCTGAAGATAAGTCATCTGATTTAGGCTCTACTGGGCCAAATCCACCAGGGTCTCATTCTTCTTTGGTGTAGTAATGTAACCTGAAGGCTCCCAGGAGAGGACAATACCATTCAAACAGATGGACAAGACCTGGGTGATCCATCAGTGGACTGTTAGTGGGTTACCATTTCCTCTGGATCAAGCTTTATTTTCTTAGTGGTCTATTCGGGGCAGGTCACCGGGGTGACCGAGGTCAGTCTGAACTCTAAACTAAATGTGGCTTTCCATTCTTTATCACCTTAGCAACAAGACTGCCTGACCACTGTCAGCAGGAGAAAAATGAGACCATCCCCAGCAAGGTATTGATCAAACAAGACAGCAGACAAATAGTCTAATCAGTCTATCAATTACAATCATGTCACCTTGCCCATCTCACTCAACCTGGGAACGTGTAGAAGAACAGGGAACATGCATACAAAGACATAATTATATCCTGGGTATCGGATCATCACAAAAAAAACAAGTACTCACAAGCATGTACATACACACTTACAGACATAATGACACATGGCCTGCTGTAGTCAGAGTAATCATAGAGCCATGGTGATGTTGCAAGCGCCCCAGCGGCGTCACTGCAACCTCGACTGGCTCTGAATCTTGTCTTTCCCCATTTCCACCACAGTCACCACAACCACACATTCCCACAGTCTAACTGAACAGGAACAACTGTTAAGAGCTATGCATCAAGATACATGGAGACAGAAAAACACAAAAAGCTCCCAATCCACAAGCATTCAGACTAACCAGATCAGCTATTAATGGTGTTGAGTCATCATCCAGTGACTGAAACTGGAATGTCAGTGTTAGTGGACCTCTGACAGGGAACTTCTCAGAGGCTAATGCCCTGGTGACAGAGATGGCTTCCGTTTGTTTTCCTGTCCACGTGAGTAGAAGGATATGCCAATGGACAAAAAACACAGCAACCTCATAGAGTTCTCTTTTTCTGACATAATCACTGGACATGAGTCTAGGACAATATCGACATAGTATGGCTGTAAATGAGAGAAACTTAACCTAACAAATGCCAACCTGCATGCGAATATCTCCACTGTTATGACCAACGGCTATGCATGAACACAAGATAGGAAAATTCCAAGGACAGATTATGGCCAAGGACAGAGGGCTTTTGTCACCTCTCACTCTGTTTAATGAGCAATAGCTTAAGCTCGCTCATCAAATGGTAATGAACCTCTCAGTGATCCAACATAGACACTCATTAACATTCTGGGCACAACGCTGATCCATGAAACAACTATGAGCAACAACAGATAGTTCAAGACTAAAACACAATAGTGGGCTTGTTCTACCATTAATGCAAAAGACGTTCAGGGAAAATGTGCTTCAAAACAGATAAAACCTTAAGTAGAAAAAAAGCAGCATTATTATTCAGGAGCTCACTAATTCACATCATCTAAACAAAACAGTTTTAAGTAAAAAAACAACTTTTATATAGTACCAGGCATCTCTAACTTCAAATGCTTATTCTCATTCTTGAGCAGCAACTTACCAAAAGAGGTGCGAGGAGCTGTCTACTGAGACAAAAAGGCTGTAAAACGAGTACAGACGTCCTTTTGAGAGCAGATGCCGGTTGAGAAAGTAGCGCTTCCCTGAAGAGGCGAAGCGCATGTGAGGGAGTCTGTGTATGCGCGAGTGAGCCAACAACTCAAATACTCCTCCTCTGTCTCCCTGGCTCCACCCTGCCTGTCCAATCAGCACTGCTGTTCAAGTGCAGACAGGAAGAACAACACTTCCTAGCAGGCACATGACAAGAACAGTTCATTAATGTACAATAAAGTGTGTCAAATCTCTCCTATTCCTGTGCCTATTCTTCTATTCTAATACTGATATTCCATAGGCTCCTATTGTTGCTTCTTGGTTAGTCTAAGCAATCATTTCCCAAAACACCTCTAAATAGTCGTTTCCAGCACCTCCACCTTTTTTCCACCTCTGTGTTACTGTAGAGGAAGTGATATAACAGAGTTGGTCTGGCTCATCAAAGAGCCAGGGGGGAGAGTCAGAGAAACAAATCACTAGCAGTGTTGCTATAAGGATATCCTGTCATTAGGCATGCTGGTTTCTCTGAGGAATTACCTGAGAAAGACTGCAGAGAGCAGTGTCAATTGTGTATGTTTGTGTATGTATCTGTGTGTTTCTGTTCTTAGAAACATTCCCATACTAAGGAATAGCCCAGTACAGTATTGTCCGTCTCTGCGCTACGCAGTGCCAAGATACTTATTAAGCCAAAAATGGTAGCAGAGCAGAAAGAAGAGAAAGGAAGCGGGAGGAAGGGAAAAAGTCATAATATTATAAGACGATGACTTTTACTGACACAGCAGTAAACCAAAAATCCACTGAACTCTTGACTCTGTATTTGCAGGTCATGACTGGCTTCTCAGTAATCACTTCTTAACAGAGACACTACTTCATACAGTGCACTAAGCCTACACAGGCAGTCAGCTTCCAGCAAAGAAATCTGCTAAGTGAAGGATGTTTAATTAGAGATAAAGAAGAGTATATTGTTACAACTGGAACACAACTATGTACCTCCATGTTTTCATTTTGTCCATTTTTTAAAGAGTTTAAAGAGAAATTTGAAAATGCAAACTGCTCTTTACATCATGTTAAAATTTCACAATGAATGGATGATTTGAAATGGTCCAAAATGACTTGGTAAAAAAATGTTCCCTTAACTTCCATCCAAAGTTAAGAGTGTTTTTCCTTCTCCTATGAGGTTTTGTGAAAGCAATGATATGCTTTATTACAATCATCATCTGTCAATACAAGCAATTAGGCCACAACTGACCTCACTTCAGAAACCCTTTTTAAAGCCTTCCTAGTTTTGTTTGTAGTATCTTTTTTTTCCAAAAAAGTACTTTTGAATCTTTAAAAACGATGCATTGTTCGTTATTGTTCAAATAAATTCAATTATTGTTTTTTGTAATTATTAATTATTAAAATAATCACTACATTCCCTTAGGGGTGTTATCCCCTGGATATCCCGGGGAGAGAGGGGAAAAGAGGGCAATCACACTTGGGCCAGCGGCACAGAGGCCCCCAAAAATCTTTTTTGGGCTCTTCATATATATCGATCAGGTATAACATTATGACCACCTCATTTTTTCTATGCTCATTGTCCATTTTATCAGCTCCACTTACTATATAGGTGCACTTTGTAGTTCTACAATTACAGACTGTAGTCCATCTGTTTCTCCGCATACTTTGTTAGCCCTCTTTCAGCCTGTTCTTCAGTGGTCAGGACCCCCATGGACCCTCACAGAGCAGGTATTATTTGGGTCACCACGTCATAATGTTATGCCTGATCGGTGTAGATACTGACACAACTGCAAACCAATGACTCAAAGAAACATGAATTTCTTCACAATAAACTTCACCAGTTAGCTTCCATTCCTGATGTTTATCTGTCCTTTTTCATAATGCATCTCATCCCTGGTAACTGTTTTAACTGGATCCTGTAACATAATATATTCATTAAAACCTTTACGTCTAATGTAAACATTTAGGTTAACATTAGATGCAAATGGGAGGAGTGGCATGTCTCGAGAGCATCAACTTCTCTGAGACATAACAAGAAAACAAGCAAATTACATTATGTTTTATTTACTGAAAGTAATTTTCATATAGGGGCTCATATTATCCTCATTATGTCACTGCATTACTTGATTACTCATATGTAATCAACAGTAACAGCCCTACTAACAGTTAACTGTGAACTCAATGAGACAAGCAGGTGGGGATCATTTAATGCTCTTCTCTTTTGAAACCTACACTTTCAGTGCCAGAGGCCCGTACCTGAGCAACACAATAAGCACCAATCCTATAGTAATGACACCATTAGCTATAGCGACAGATCTCTATGGAAACGGCTGTAATTCTGTCCCCGCTTAGGCGGGTGGCCCCACGGCTGCCTGCCTCCACCTGTGCTAAGAGCCGGAGCACGGCAGAAAGAGCAGAGCATTCTTGACATGCCACAGAGCACAGCGAGCTCTAAAGGAGAAGAATAGAGACACTGGATGCAGGAGTTGGCTTCAAGAATAAGTGTCCTAGCGTAAAACCAACACATTGCATAAGAGAAGGGTGAAAGTTATTGCAGGACACAGCAGCTATTGGAGTTTTCTTCAGTTTATCTAAGCGACCAGTGACTGCGTGCCTAAAACCTCTTAGATATTTATATTAAATACATAATGGCTATATTTACCTAAAGGCTGGTCCTAAGTGCACAGTATTAAACGAGTTAAGCGCTATACTTAAGCACCTTGTTTTTTGCAATCGTCAAAAATGTAAGTGTAAACTTAGGTTGAGAACTCAATTTGGCCTTTATCAAGTATTTCCCTGAACTGTATGTACGCAGCTCTTAAATTAAAGGGGAATATAAGTGAAGACTTAAGTCCAAAAGATGTTTTATGCAAGTGGCTACAGGCTCACAGCCTGTAAACTCAAGTGCAAACTCTCTCTAAGCTGGCGGGTAAGCTCTACTGACCCCTGAACTCCCACCTCCTTGACTCCTCACGTCCAGGCTGTAATTTCATCTCTCCACAAGCTGCTGAGATGTTCACAGTCCTGATCCTGACCCCACAGAGCCAATCCCACTGCAAAAGTAACCGTCGGTCATTGCCAGCTGCCCTTAGACCCAGCAGCAGTGAGTTGCCCTACCATCCATCTGAGTGGTGCAGGAGTGGCAGTGTCTTTGAACACGGGGATTACAGAAGAAACGTTCTAGGTGCAGGATTACTGCTGGAACCCATCTTTCTTACAGAAGATCATAGGCCTTGCCTTAGGGTCCGACAACACACACATACGTAAGTCCTGGCTGCTCACCAGTCTGATTCACACACGGACATCTCCGCTTACAACTCAGATTCCACACAAGCATGTCCAAACAGGCTTTTACACTTCTAAATCAGCTCTCCCACACCCAGCTCTTCAGTGGATGCACATGAGCCTGCAAACATAAACACGCTTGCTCATACGCACACAACGTACACACTAGCAAAGGGAGTGAATCACACCGAGTATGAATAGGTGACTCACCTATACTGACAAGTCACAGCATTTAAATGAATTGCTGCTAGCAGTGCACGATCAGAATCGGTCAAGATGAGAATGGGCAGTTTTCTGCCTAAAACATGCACTCGGCATTTCACTATCATCATTTTGGCCCATTTTTATTGCAATTTTATGACGTGAACTTAAAAGGCAAAATTTGTCTTGGCTGATCAACTACATCTGAGGTAAGTGGAAAATGATGCCAAACCCTTATTTAAATAAGCAACTGATTTGACCTTGTATCTCCAAAATTGTAACTTTACAGAAGAAGGAAAAAACCTCCTTTACTTTTAATGTAAGTCAATGGAACCAGACTTTTTTCCAAGTCATTTTGGGCCGTTTCTTTAAGTCCATTCATCATACAATTTATATACAGTGTAAAGGGTTATGTCAAAAACTGAAAAACATCAAAAATGGAGTCTGCTCTCGTGGCTGCTTGAGTTCCAAAGACCATCTAAGAATTAGCAGACGAAAAAGTGTTTTTATTATTTAATTTAAATACCTCTTATTCTCCAGGGTATATTTTGGTTTTTCCATATGAATCTGCATGGCCAAATCGTACGGCAAATTATTCAGTAACTGCATGAAATAAATGTACATTTTTATTTTATTTATTTTATTTATTTTTTTGTAAAAGCTTCCCTCAAATTAACAGAAAGTGTGTTTTATGATCATACACATATTGCTATATGCTTACAATTTACTTCTGAAAGCCAAAAATCTTAGACGCTCTTTGTATTATTTTTTAAAAATAACTTTTACAGAGCAGATCACTGAAGAGACGCCATCTATTTATAGTTTATAGCCCAGATTTGTGGAAAAATGGGTCGACTTTCAGTAAGTTCAGTTCAGTTTTTTCTATTATAAGGGTTTAAAATGACATTACCCATCTATTTTCCTGGAAAGAAGACAGTTACAGCTCTCATAGGACACCCACTTTTTTGAATGTAGCTTATGAAATATGAAAGTTATGAAGAATATGACAAAGTGCGTTTTGGAACCACTGGTGGTCTCAAGGAGTTGAAGAGGTCTAAGCATTTATAATGCTAGTTTGGTCTGTTAAAATGCAATTAACAGTATTTATAGGGCAACTTTGGCTGATAAAATGTACTGGAAATGTGTGTTTTTCCCATATATGTTCAATTAAGCACCTCAATTGACCAAAGCTAAAAAAAAATTGCCCATTGGCCAATTAGGCTGTAAAACAAATCAGAACTAGCCATAAAAACTAATGAACACTGCATCACTAACAGCTACTGTTCAGTTACTGTTCAATTAGGGCTAGGTGGTTTAGATTAAATTCAATATCATAACATTTTCTAGATTTTATAACAGTTTTACAGTCATTTTAAATATATCGTCAAATGACTTTTCCTTGTTTTTCTAAGTGAAAATAAGTGAACACATACTCTACAGTGAACAAACTTAAATATGACATTTTTCTACAAATTTTAGTGCACCGTTTCTATTTATTTGCCGAGGTTAACATATGGAGAAAATTAAACAAAATGTAAAATGAACCATAACTTACACACACCAATTTTTTGTTTTATTAGTTTGCCCCACTGTGTTACATTCAGCAAATGATCAGT